ATTCTCCAGCCAGTGACTTCCATTGCCAGACTTATCCAGAAGCCAGAAGGCAAGGGAATGCACTTCCATGTGATACAAGACAGAGAGAGTAAGAGCAGAGAAGAATCTGAGAGGAACTGAGGCAAATGACCAGTACACTAATTTATCCAATCACGTCAGTGACACCACCACTGGCTTCCCTGCTCAAAATCCCCAATGTCTTTATTTTTCTGAACTTCAAGTCCCACATCCAATATCAGGGTTTGACCCAACCTAATCTACAATGTTTTTCCCTTAAAATGTCCCCAAAATCTCTCCCTTTCCATCACATTGGCTCAGCTTAATTCAGGCCCTCCTCTCCGTAGGTATGGATTATTATAATAGTCACCTCCTAACTGGTCTTGAACCTCCAGTTCCTTTCTGCTACTGTCTATGTCTATTTTGTTTGCTATCTACGTCAGCAAACAATGGCCAATGGGCCATATCTAGCTTGCCACCTATTTTTGTACATAAAGTTTTACTGGAACACTGCCACACTCATATGTTTGCATATTGGCTGTCATCGCTTTCACACAACAATGCCAGAGTTCAGTAGCTGTGACAGAGACCACATGGCCCACAAAGCCTAAAATATTTACTCTCTGTCCCTTTACAGATAAAGTTTGCTGACCCCTGGAATGGAATAGTCTGTTCCATTCTGTTACTAATCTTCCTATAATACTCTTCCTTGTGTCATTTTTCCCACCTTCAAATTATCCTTCATGTCCCCATAATAAAACCCAAAGTCCACAGCTTGTCATGATTCAACATTTTCAACAGAAAAAGGCAGACTCAGAGTCTCTCCAAATAAACAGTGTGTTTTTGCAAAAGGCAACACTGCTTTGGTTTATTATTCCCTCTGTCTGTAATGTCACACCATTTTCTTTATCTCTCTTTCTCTGTGTCTGTTTACTAAGGCCAAGATTAAAAACAGTTTCCTCCATGAAGCTAACTCCGGTGTTCTCTTAGTTAGAAATAATTTCTCTCTCCTCAAAACTGCCGACATGCTTTATTTGTATCTTTCATAAGGCACCAAAGAGTGAATACCCATGCTGGGTGGAAAAGCAAAGTATTATCCAGAAAATTAAATTTTAAAATTTTTCACTTGAAGTATATGGATAATGAGGCAAACCTACTATTTTGACAGAGCAATGACTTCTGTAAACTTTTTACTTATAAATCAAATTTATTGATGCATAACATAAAATGTGCCCATTTAAGTGAATAGTTTGTTGAGTTTTAATGAATGTATTCACCTATATAACCACCACCACAATCAAGATATAGAATATTTCTATCATCATAAAATGATCCCTCACGCTCCTCTGCAGTCAATTCTACCCTCACCCACCCACCTGTGGCTCCAGGCAGTCACAGATATGTTTTCCGCCATTATAGATTAGTTTTACGGTCTAGACCTTCATTAAATCGAATTGGATTATGTGTTCTTCGGGGTCTGGCTTCTTTCAGGCAGTATAGTGTTTTTGGGATTCACCCATGTTGTCGTGTGTATCAGTAGCCCATTTCTTTTCATTGCTGAGTAATATTCCATTGTGTGAATATGCTAGAATTTGTCTAGTCACACACTGATGAATATATAAGCTGTTTCCAGCTTGGTCCTATTATGAATAAAGCTGCTGTAAACACTCATGTACAACTCTTTTTGTGGACATATATTTTCATTTCTCTTGAATAAACACCTTGGAGTGGAAGTGCTTAGTCGTATGGTAAGTGTACATTTAATTTTATAGAAATCTGGCAAGCGATTGTACCATTCTACATTCCTACCAGCAATTTGTGGAAGTTCTAGTTAATTCACACACTCACCAATACTTGGCATTGTCAATCAATTAATTTCAGCAATTCCAGTAGACATGTAGTGGTGTATGATTGTGGTTTTACTTTGAATTTCCTTGAGGACTAATGATTTTGAGCATCTCTTCATGTGATTGTTGGCTATTCCATCTGGTATCTCCTTTTGTGAAATGTCTGTTCAAAACACTTGCCCGTTTTCATTGGGTTGTTTTGCTTTTGATTATTGATTGCAGGAAGAGTCATTTACATATTCTAGAGACAAATCCTTTGTCAGATATATATATTGTGATTATTTTTCTTCCAGTCTGTATTTTCCTTTTAATTTTTCTAGTAGTGTCTTTCAAAGAGCAGAAGGTTTTTAACTGATGAAGACCTATTTATCACATTTTTCTTTTATGACTAGCATTTTTTGTGTTCTGTCCAGGAAAACTTTGCCTACTCTCAAGGTTTTCTTTTGTACTTTCTTCTAGAAAAATTAAAGTTTTAGCTTATAAGTTTAGAATTATGATCTATTCTAAGTTAATTTTTGTATATCGTACAAGCTAAGGATTGGGGATCAAATTCTTCTGTAGGGATATCCAGTTATTCCAGCATCATTTGTTGAAAGATTTTTCTTTCCCATTGAATTCCCTTGGCACTTTTATTGAAATAAATTCGTCATCTGTGTGTGAATTTACTTCTGGATATTATTCTGTTCCCTTGATCTAAATGTCTATTCTTATACCAGCACCACACTATCTTGATTATGGTTGCCTTACAGTAAGTCTTAAAATCAGGTCCTGTAAGTCCTCCAACTTTGTTCTTCTTTTCAAAAAGTGTTTTGTCTATTCTAGGTTTTTTACATTTTTTATATGTGTATTAATTACTTGTCAATTTCTACAAAAATGGTAGATTTTTATGAGATTGCTATCAATCAGTTTGAGAAGAATCAACATCTGAACAATATTGAGTCTTACAATCCATGAACATGGTATATCTCTCCATTAAATTAGGCCTTTAAATTTTTCTCTCAGTAATGTTTTGTAGCTTTCAGTGTACTAGTCTCACACATATTTTGCTAAATTTACCCCTAAGTGTTTCTTGTTTTTGATGCTCTTGTAAATGGTATTCTTTTCATTTTCCAATTGTTCATGGTTAGTGTATAGAAATGTAGTTTATTTTTTCATATTGACCTTGTATCTTGCAACCTTGCTAAATTTACATATTAGTATTAGTAGAATTTTTTGTATATTCCTCGGAACCTTCTTTCTTTCCCCAGCTTTATTGCGATATAACTGATATATAACATTGTGTATATGTACAACATAATAATTTGATATATGTACATACTACAGAATAATTACTACAATAAAGTTAAATACAGCCATCACCTCACATAGTTAAATGTGTGTATGTGTGTGTGTGTTTGCTGAGGTTTTTTTCCAGTTTTATTGACATACAGCACTCCACAAGTTTAAGGTGTTCAGCATAATGACTCGACTTACATATATTGTGAAATGATTACTACAATAGGTTTAGTTGACATCTATTATCTCATTTAGATACAAAAAAAAGAAAAGAAAATGCTTTTTTCTTTGTGATGAGAACTCTCAGGATTTACTCTCTTAACAATTTTCAAATATACCACACAGCAACTGTAGTCATCATGTTTTATATTACATGCCCAGTATTTATTTATCTTATAACTGGAAGTTTGTACGTTTTGACCACCTTCATCCAATTCTCACCCAGACCCCTGCCTCTGATAACCATAAATCTGGTCTCTTTTTCTATGAGTTTGGTTTTGGGGTGGTTTTCTGGAGTCCACATATAAGTGAAATCAAACAGTATTTGTCTTTCTCTGATTTATTTCACTTAGCACAATGCACTCAAAATCCATCCATGTTATCAAAAATGGCAGGATTTCCATCCTTTTTAGGGCTCAATAGTATTCTGTTGTGTATATAACACATTTTCCTTATCCATTCATCTATAGATGGAGACTTAAATTGGTCCCATGTCTTGGCTATTGTACATAATGCTGCTATGAATATGTGGGTGCAGATATCTTGTCCACATAGTGTTTTCATTTCCTTCAGACATATTCTCAGAAGTGAAATTGCTATCATATGGTAGTTCTATTTTCAATTTTTTGAGGAACCTAAATAATACTTTCTATGGAGGATATACAAGGGTGTACAAGGGTGCAAATACTGGGAGATACGGTTCATTTGGGGCCACCAAAAAAACAGTCTACCATAGGATAGTTATTTTTTCTTTCCAAATATCCAGTAGCTATATATTTGTCATCACCTCTAACTGTATTGATTGTTTTAACATAACCAAAAGTTTGTTTACAATAGTATCCAACATATGTGATCGATAGGTCATACCCCTAATTATTACTAAATCTGTATGATTAAAATCATTTCAGGCTATGGTATCTTTCCCAAGCTATACTTTGTTATTCAAAAAGCACTCTGTAGTTTGAGAGGCTTTGTAGGGGTTCAAATATACCCAACTCCCAACTTTCTGAGCAGCAATTTTCTCTTTGGCGGAGAACTTCACCTCGCCTATCTTGAGGAATGCTTTCAGCGTCAAGAAACAGAACACCCAAATAACAGTCAGAGTCTAGATGATAAAGATCTTTAATTATCTTACACAACAAAGTCTAGAGAGAGGTGGTTCCAAGTTTGGTGCAGCAGTCCAATGAATCAAGTATTCAGGGTTTTTCTATCTTTCTATACCTCTTCAGCCTGTTAGCTTTTCATCTTTAGACATGTCCCCCTCATGGTCACAAGATGCTCCTCACAGAACTCCACTTAAGGAAGAGAAAAGGGAGAAGTAGAGTCTCCTCTTTAAGTCTTGTCTTTTTATTTGGGAAGGAAATTTTTCCTAGAAGCTGCCTTTCCTCAATTTCTGTCATACTGTAGGCTACCCTTAACTTTCACTGGATCTGCGATTACAGTATTATCTAGCAATAAGAATCGAGTATCACTGGACAGGAAAAACCCACGCTACGCACAGTGAAGACTGTCCGGAGGCTATTTTTTAACTCACCAAAACAGACGAGAATAGCACCTTTAGAGAACCGAGGAAAACTCTCCAGGATTATGCACCCACTCACTACCGCCGCTTACTTGGTCTTAACTTCAACCTCCTGAAAACTCTCCCTGTGCGTTCTCCTTAATGAGACCCTTTGCGTCTTCCTACCCACTTCAAATATGGCCGCCAAGCCCCAGTCTCCTTTACCACCTGATCTTGGCGACAGCTCTGGCTTCATGCCCGTTTCCAAAAGGGCCTCCTCCCGCGGGACTGCAGTTCTGAGTGCGCAGGCGCGAAAGCAAGTCCTCTTCCGGGCAAAATGGCGGTGGTATTGATGTGCGGACGCCGGGAGCTTCTGCGCCTGCTACGGCCGCAGCGTCAGGTAAGGATGCCCCGGGTCTCAGCGCTGGCAAACTGCCCTGTCCCTGTGACCCGAGCTAGGGACAACTCCAGCTGGGGGCATGCGAAGACGCTGACCTGCTCACCGGCACCTGCTTCTCGTGACCTCGGGTCGCCTGAGGACGCGAGAGGGTTTCGTCCTCGACCCTGCAGGCTCAGCGGCCCCATGAAGTTGTCTCTTCCCGAAAACAAGTGTCACCGCTGCCAAGGAAACCTCGGCCTCGACCTCTGGTCCCCGGGGTGGGGCTGCGGTAGCTGAGATCCGGGATCGCCAGTTGCATGCCTTCGGGCCAGCGCGGAGAGTAGCGGTGTCCTCTGCGGTAGTGGGCTGCCTGCTTCCTGGGGGGCGAGCATCATGGGCGACTTCTGCGCCCGGTAAAAGGTTCCATCCTCCTTTCAGTTCCACCGCGTCGCAGGGCCGTCGCAGTGGCCCCGGAGACCGCTGACCGCTGGGCTCCTGTTCCCCGCCGGCCGGTGCTGCGGGCGCCCGCACTATGTCCTCCTCGCGGCCTCCGGCCCCCGTGGCCTCAGTACCTCTGCCGTCTGGTTCGCAGAAGCCCAGGTAAGAGGCGTTTGGTCCCTGCAGCGTTAGGAGTGGCGCTTCTTGGTTAATTTGTTTTTATTTTGTTATGACCAGAGGGAAGGGCAATGTGGGGCAGAGTTCTTGTCCACAGTCCACACAGCCCCCCGGAATGGTGGTATCTCTGCTTGGGATAGACTTTTTACATCAGTTGGGAAAATGATTGAGTACAGCAGGAGAGATTTACCTTCCATACAAGGCACTGTTTGCAGTGGTGGTAAGCCACCGATGGTGATAGGAAATGATTCCAGGTGTGTGTGTATGAGAAAAATTACAACTTGCATGTCATATGCATGATTTCATAGATATTAATATGTATGAGGATGTGACCAAGTAGATATTTAGGTTTTAAAAACTAAGTTCTAAAGAAAAATTGTAAGTATAATAGTTTCGGTATGTACAAAATCGTGCCAGTGATGCTCAGATGACTGAAGTTTAGAAAACGCTGATACAGGAAATAACTTCCCAGCGTAAAGGGAAGTCATGAAATCTTACATTAAGTAACTTATTTTCCTGCAGAGAAGGGAAAGTAAAATGTCTTTTTTTAAGCTTTGAATTCTGTGGACACTGTAGATTAACGTGGGAGAAAAAGTAGGAGTCAAAGAGAACAACCCAGTTTTGGTTATCATAAGGGAACCCTTGATTTCTGTACGTCCCTCCTACTGAATATTACACATGGCTTCCTTTTGCACAGGTTCAGGTTCCTCCAGTCATTCCTGCAACTCCCTCACCTCCAGCGGTGACTGAGGTGGCTTCTGGAGAGACTGCAGATGTAGTTCAAGCCGCTGCAGAACAGAGCTTCGCTGAACTGGGGCTGGGGTCATACACCCCAGTGGGACTGATCCAGAACTTACTAGAATTTATGCATGTTAACCTCGGCTTACCTTGGTGGGGAGCCATTGCTGCATGTAAGGGGAATACCTCCTGGACAAGGGTAGAGGAGACGGGGACTTAGAGAATAGCGGTGCTGGGAGTGGATCGAGGAAACAGTTGCAGAAGTTCGGGGTCAGAAAAGTAGATGATTCAAATGAGGGGGATAGAGGCTCACGATAGTTAGATGTACTCTACTTATGTTTCCTAAAGAGCAGTATAAAACCACTAGATCATTTGGGATTCAAGACGTATAGATGTTTGAATGTGAGCATAGAGTTCAAGTTAGGGGACGTCGTTAACAGTGAAGAGGCTGCCCTGGTCTAGGAGAGTAGAAGGCCGCGTCAAGCACTTAAACCCCAAAATGGGGAAGACACTCACACTGCCCCTCTTGTAGGCTGTCACTAGGCTTTAAATTCTGTTTCGTCCTCCACCTTGCTCCAGTGATCATCCTTTCTCTCACCTGTGTCCTCAGCTTCTCCCTCCTTACTGCCCTACTCTGAACATAGAAACATGCTCAAGCATACCATGTGTTTCTTGGAGGAAAGTTGCTTTCCTTCATCCTTAGTTCACCTTTAACTACTACTCTCTCTCCCTCCTTCCTTTCATAGCTGTTATTTAAAAGAGTATTCTGCATCCAGTGGGCTTCTTTCTTTTTACTCTTTGATCCTCAACAATCTGACTTATACTAATACAACCTCATTCTAACTGCCAGTGACATCATTGCTAAATCCACTTTTCTTTTTATACCTGACTTTTCTATATTAGGCTCTTTAGACCTTGAAGTCTATCCCTTGGCTGTTGTGAGTCTTTCCTGATTTTCTTCCTGACCACACCTTCCCATCTCCATTGCCCAATACTCTGCCTACCCCTTTAGTTCTGCTATTCTGGGTTCTGTCCGTAGCTTCCTTCTCTTTCCACTCCACATCATCCATCATACTGTTGATAAAGCCTAAGTCTGTGTCTCCCCCCGGTCTCTTCTCAGCCCAGACCCACTTGTTTGTCTACAGATACCATAAACTAAATATTTGCTGGAATGATCAGGAAATAGGAAGTGTAAGAAAAGAAATAGGAAGTAGCTAAAGCAGTAGACCACCAGATTACCTCCTACTCCAGGGATTTCTAGGACAGTGGCTTTCAAGCCTCATTCTTGGGAGCTGCAGAGTTCTATAAAGGTGCCTCTGAGAAAAGCAAAGGCCAGAGCTTGAACAGCCTATAGCCAGATTACCCCCTCAGCCAGGGCAGCTTGACTTCATCTGTTATGTATATTGGTACTACACTTAGAGTTGGGGGAGGGCGCGGGAATGAGTCCCATTGATGATAGAAAGTTTAGAAACTATTGATTAGAAAAGTGTCCTCTGTCACCGTTTTGTTCGAGGAAACAAACAGGATTCCTGGTCATGTGCTTAGAGAAGTTAATGCCAGACTTTAGTGATGTCAAAGCAGAGCCTTGAAGGAACTAAGTCATACCCCTGCCCTTTGTTTTGGGCCCCTTGGGCATGAATCACAGTGTGGAAAAGACTAGAATAAGACAGACCCTTTCAGTGAGGACCTAGACACCCTCAGCCTGGCTGCAGAACTGCTTTCACTTCACTCCAGTCCTAGTATGTGTTTTCCAGGTACAGTCCTTGCCCGCTGCCTGGTGTTTCCTCTCATCGTGAAGGGCCAACGAGAGGCAGCCAAGATCCACAACCACCTGCCAGAGATCCAGAAGTTTTCCACTCGGATCAGAGAGGCCAAGTTGGCAGGAGACCATGCTGAGTGTGAGTCAGTTGCAGAATGAGCGTGGGAGAGGACCACATTTGCACTTTTCCTGACATTCTGCTGAGGGAAACAAACAACCTAAATCAGGAGTTGCTGCAGTTGGGCAAGTTCTAAAGATTTACCTGCTTCTTGGGCCAAATGTTTCCACTGACTGGCCAGGGTCAGTTAGAAATTTCAAGGGCCAGGCGATGAGGATGGTCACCTCCACCAACATAACTTGTCAGCCTAACCATTAACTTCCCGTCACTTCACAGTTTACAAGGCCTCCTCGGAGATGACACTTTACCAGAAAAAGCATGATGTTAAACTCTTTAGACCTCTCATTCTACCTCTGACTCAGGTAAGCAAAAGCATTTCCCATTTATTCCATCCTGAACCAATCGAATTTCCTCCTCTGTGTTGCCATGCCCTAGATCCCCAAAAAAACCAGGTGGTAGTGATATTATACATGGTTTTCAATACCATGTATAGGAAAATGAAAGCGTCCCCTCTGCTAAAGGGTCCTGACACTGTTTATCCTGTGTAATAGGCCCCGATCTTCATCTCCTTCTTCATTGCTTTGAGAGAAATGGCCAACCTTCCTGTGCCCAGCCTGCAGACAGGTGGCCTCTGGTGGTTCCAAGATCTCACCCTATCTGACCCCACCTACGTATTACCACTGGTAGTCACTGCTACAATGTGGGGTGTCCTTGAGGTAAGCCCGGGTTGGCCAAGTGCCAGGCCTGCACAATGGGGAGCGGGGGTAAAGTAGTTGCGCCGAATGGTCATTCTTCACTTCCTGGAGAAATAGAGTTGATAGGTAAGAAATTTGAGTCAGATTCACTAAAATTGACCTGCATTTGCTATTGTCCCTCTGCTTTTTTTTTTTTTTTTTTTTTTTTGGCAGTTAGGTGCTGAGACTGGTATGCAAAGTTCTGATGTTCAGTGGATGAGAAATGTTATCAGATTGATGCCCCTGGCAGTCCTGCCCATAACTATCCATTTCCCCTCGGTAGGTAATGGCTTAGGGGCTGGCTCCAAGTCCTTCCACTGGCCTACCCATCTCCCAGCGAGCTGACCAGGGATGCAGCTTCTGAGGACCTTCTCTTCCTTCTCTCCAGGCGGTGTTCATGTATTGGCTCTCCTCCAATATGTTCTCCCTGGGCCAGGTGGCTTGCCTCCGGATCCCAGCTGTACGCACTGTGCTTAAAATCCCCCAGCGTGTTGTGCATGACTCTGACAAGTTACTTCCACGGGAAGGCTTCTTCAAGAGCTTCAAAAGAGGTAAGGGCCTGTCCTCTGCGAAACAGGACCAGGGGACAGTGACCTAAAAACAGGTACAGGACTGACTGTCTTACTCTTTACACAGGCTGGAAGAATGCTGAAATGGCACATCAGCTACAAGAGCGGGAGCGACGCATGCAGAATCACCTGGAGCTAGCAGCCAGGGGTAAATAACCCTTTCAGGCTAAGTTCTGTCATTTGTTTCTTCCTTCCCTTTGTTCATCTAGATTTGTTTTCTCCTCTTCCCTCAGGTCCCTTACGACAGACCTTTACCCACAACCCCCTGCTACAGCCTGGCAAGAATCACCCTCCCAACACCCCTAACAGCAGCAGCACCAAACCAAAGTCAAAGCAGCCCTGGCGTGACACGCTTGGCTGAATTCTGTTCCCTGGTCTTACTGGCAGGAACTCTCTCTCTTCAAAGACTCAACCTCACAACAAGAGTTGACACTGGGTCCTTGCCCCAGACCTAGAAACCGTGGGACGTGGAAATGTTCCTTTTTAAAAGTGGATTCCACTACAGACTCTTAGACCTAAGTGTAAAAAGCACTGGGGAGCCAAGTGATCTTCCCATCCAGAGTTAGTAAACTTCTGTACTACATGCTGCTTCCTGATACTTATTAACCAGGGAAATGGATTGTGTGCTTCAGAAAAATGAGGAGTAGGTTGAGTGGTGATTACTCTTGCTGACCATGCTCTTAGCAAGTTTTGAGTGGTATCCATGGCATTAAGAGCTTAGGCCCCATTGCATAGATGTGTTCCATCCACATTTGCATTGCAGTCATAGAGGTGTGCCTCCTAAGTTCAGATTGTATCTAAATAGAATAACCACATTTGTTTACCCCAAGATTACCTATAAAATATCCTTCAAGTAGTAGATTCTTAGTAATAATTTAAAAGAATGGAAGTTGGTACACTTTTTATCTAATGCCCTAACATTTTGCTGTAGCGGTTTAGGTGTTCTCTTGGGTAGAGATTGGTTACATCAGCCTTCAGCTACTGGCTTAAGAGGGAAGAAATACTTGGATACTTTCAAGCATAAGATTGTTTTTCGTCTTCCTACCAGGTTAATAGAAGCTGTCCCAGAGATACTATATAAAATGAAGCCACTCAAAGCTTAGGAACATAATCCTTTTATTGTCCAACACCTGTGACAGTTTCATGTCTCTCTAAAGGAGACGGAAGTTTGGAGCATTATTGGCCCTTTTAAAGGAAAAGAGGAGTGGGTAGGCACATCCAGAGGTGAGTGAATATCTTAACACATGGGAATGTGCTATTAGAACAACCAAGCCCACACCTGACATGCTCCCCACCATAGTCTGCTTTATTGTCCCTTTAAAAAAATCTGGAACAATATGTAGCAAAACAAATAAATTACTTTCCATCTCTCAAAAAGCAAGTTCAAAGTTGTTGAAGCTGCCTAGACCAGATTTCTGGAGAGGTGCCTTCAAAGAAGTGAGCTTTCCTTTTCAGCTTCCTTGGCTCCAGCCAGTAGGAGAAAGAGGCCCCTGCTTTCCACAGCTCAGGATTCCAGGAGGTATTTAGTTAGACTTGGGATCTTGTTGTTTGGGCATCTCTCCTCCATCTTCCAAATCCATCTCTGCAGCAACTGACAAACATAGGACCTGGAGGTACCATGTGGTGGATGCTATAAAGAGAACTTTGAGTCAAAACTGAGAAAAGTTCAGCTGGGCTGAGTTCCAGTGGCACTGAATGGGGCTGAGCCTGAGGGGACAGTTCAGTTAAGCCTCAGGGTTAACAACAGGAAGGGGCTATGGCAAGGGTCACTTGGGAGACTAGATTTGAGAAAAAAGTGGGGGGAGGGGGAAGTAGGCTGTACAATAGCTGAGCCAACTTGAAGATCCAGGGCTTACCCACAATCCTTCGGAGGCAACGAGGTCGTTTGTGTTCTGGCACTCTGACAATGAGGAAGTAAAAGGGCAAGCCTGAGAGGGCAATGCCAATGCCGATGAGGGAGTTGATGGTATCACTGTAAAGTGGAACAGCCACCAGGAAGATGGTGCAGAGGCAGAAGACAATGGGGAAGAGAAGGCTGAGCTAAGAGCACAGAGAAAACAGCTGGAGGTTAGACAGCTCTGGACTAACAGCCAAAATCACCCCACCTGTGAAGATCAGCGCGCTGAGCCTTCTTTCCATCCCTTCATCTCAACACACTACCACCACCAAGTCCTAGGTAAAGGTTTCTGAATAAACTGTCTTGTAAGAATCCCCTGGAGCAGACGGCGCAGAGGTAGGGTGGAGGTGAGTTACCTTGAGGGGACGAGGTCGATCTGGCTCCTTCCAGCGCAGATAAAGCTGACCCACAATAGAGAGCCCCACAAAGAACCAGTAGCTGAAGCTGTAATAGTTAATGAGCTGGAAGATGTCCTCCACACACAAGTAGATCAGTGCCATGATACCCTGTAAGCACAAGCGCAGGTGAGCTCTGCTCAGCGTGTTACCCAAGGCACTTTTCCCCCTTTATCTCCCACAAATCCATCCCCTTCTTAAGTCCTCAACATCTGTCTATCTGTCCTTTTCTGTCCCTCCCTCCTTTAGCTCCCGAGTTTCAATACCTCATTCCTTTTCTATTAAGTCAGTAGCCTCTCAATTGATTTTTCAGCCCATTCTTCAAACCTTTGCCAAGTTAACCCTCTGTAAAGCACAGCTCAAAACAGTTGCGCAAAAATTTTTTGCCTAAGAGCCTCCCCATAAAGGCTCCAAGCTGCATTTCCAGCTTTTATCTCCTACTAGCAAATTCCACACTGCCTTATCTCAGAACTTTGTGATGCTGTTTCTCTTGACCTAAAACCCATCTCTGCCGTTTGCAACCCTAACCTTAAAAATCCACTTTCAAATGCACTTTCTCCAAGAAGTCTTTCCTCATTCACCCTCTACCCCCATGGAAGTCATCATTTCTTCCATTAAACACTCCATCACTCTCTCATGGCAGTCATTACAGTGTATCCCATGTACTTATACCTCATCCTAGACCAAAGGAGGTTACCATTCCTTAGAGAAGATGGGTTCTCTCTCAGGAACCACCGCAGCAGTTAGCACAGTGCCTTGCCCACAATGGCTGTTCCGTCACTAGTTTTTCTTTTAGAATCTCTTAGAACTTTCGGGAAGCTAGAACAGTTGCATCTACTGTTACTCAAGTTGCCCCCACAATCTGGCTTTCAGCCCCATCCTTGAGATCACTTACATTGAAAAGCAGAGCTGGCACCGGTGTGAACCGCTCAACCTGAATCATGCAGATGGCGTCAGGGAGATGGCCTTCTCTTGAGCCCACAAAGAAAAGTCTATTGGGAGGAAGAAAGGAGAGGCTGAGAAACTTGTGGGATGTTAGGTGTGGCCTGGCTCATGTGCCACACAGCCCTCTCTGCCATCCCCTCCTCCAGAAGAGTTTGAATAATATGGAATGGAGTTCAAATTGAGATTAGTAAGAACTAGAGGCTGCTAATGGAAACGAGCAAAGAGGTTGTGAATATCATCTGGGGAGCACAGTGACTAACATCTGAGCCCTGGAAGCCCTCTCCTTTCCTGCCACAGTTCTTCACAACACCCCCTAGTAAAAGATGCCACTCGTACCTAGAAGCAGCCACAATGGAGGCATTGAGGCCACCAAAGCAGGACAATGCAACTGCCAGTGGAATTGTCCAGTTGAATATTCCAAAAATATGGTCCGCAAAAGTCTAAGGGAAAGGAATGGAAAAGAGTCATTACCAGGACCTAAAAGAGATGAAAGGCATGGACAGGCATGCCCCCAGATACCCACTACTAGGAACCCAACCCCCTTCCACAATGAGGGTAACAGGACCTTTTTGCAAGCCCAGTATCCTAAGTAAACTCTTTCAAGGACTACCCCCTTCTGGGACTTTGAAGAGCTGTAATACACCCAGAAGCCGACACACACACCCTCAGCCTTCTGCTAGTGAAAATCCTTTACCACAGCAACAGCATCACTGGCCAGGATGTCCCTCATGTCTAGCACGGTGTAATAGGCCACGTTGGTCAAGATGTAGATGATGGTGACAATGGGCATGGAAATGCCGATGGAGAGGGGCAGATTCCTACAACCAAAAAGAATAATAGATACATTAATCATACAGTCACATCCCCATGTTGCCTTTGATCCTTAGACTCTGTCCCACCAGGGCTGGGGTCTCCTGTGGCATTTCTCCAGTGTCTTTGCCTTTGAAGTTGCCTAGGATAGTGGCTTAAACTCTGAACTGTTAAGAACTAAAGAGCATCAAGGGAAAGGAATATCACAATCAGAGAAAGGGCTATGCAGGAGAAATAAAAGGATTAACAAAGAACTATGTCTACAGCAAAATAATAGTACAGGAAGATGGGAGGGTTTTGGTTTTGTTTTTTACATCCAAAGGTCTCTTGGTGTCAGGATTCCTTCTCTAAGATTGTCAACATCATAAAATTTGTCTTAAGGTTGAGAAATAGAAGAAGAAATTATGGAGGCAAATTGTGAAATCTAACATCACCAGAGAATAAGATAGACCCTCGGTAGGAAGCGCAGTGTGTATATCTAAACAAGCAACTTGGGAAAGGTGTCCACCTCACCCCTTACTCAGTTTGAGAACCCTGGGTGCCAGCCTAACCAGTGGCCAAGAGAAAGATGCAAAGACCTCTCAAGGTCCCTGTAGCCCAATAAAGCCACGGTCTCTATAAACATTTTTCACAGTGTGGGGGAGGGTGGGGTGGAGGGAAAGAAAAGAAGGGAAGAGGCAAATACTCTGGAGTCATTCAGCTTCTGTCCAGTAGGTGGAAGCACCACCCAGGCCTCCATCCTGCTTCTGTTATGTGCTCCCAGGGTTGCAACACTGGACGTGTACTTTGTTTCTCAAAGCCAAAAGGAGTTTATTATTATTCTTTTGACCTAAAAATTTAGAGAAATTCCACTCCCTGGTAAATCTTAGTTCCCAGAATCATTGAATTTTAGAGCCAGGAAAGTCTCTAGAGATCACATATTTCAACCCCCTCAATTACAGATAAGGAAGCAGGCGGAGATGGTGGGGACTCCCTAATGATCATCCAACTAGTGGAAAGACAGGTTCCAGGCCCTTGACTCCCTATGCAGCGCTCTTTTCTCTCTGCATGACTACAGGGTAATTTAGAGTAACAATGGTGGGGCAATACCCTTGACTGACAGAAACAATACCACTACATCAGTATGAGTCTGAGAAACAAGGAAGGGATCAGAAGAGAAACGGGAAGGTTTCTAGGAATCTCTGACCTTAAGTTATCCATGTGGGGATGAGAGTGGATGAAAGATCTATCAAGGAAAATCTATAAAGCAGTATACGTGAGCATATGGTACAACCTGCTTTAATTAATGCATGAAGGAATAAATGTGCAAAGGGATTTTTTTAAAAATTTCTTTTTAGGGACCAGCCCGGTGGCACAGCGGTTGGGTGCGCATGTTCCGTTTCGGCAGCCCGGGGTTCGCCAGTTTGGATCCTGGGTGCGGACATGGCACCACTTGGCAAGCCATGCTGTGGTAGGCGTTCCACATGTAAAGTGGAGGAAGATGGGCAGGGATGTTAGCTCAGGGCCAGTCTTCCTCAGCAAAAAGAGGAGGATTGGCTGCAGTTACCTCAGGGCTAATCTTCCTCAAAAAAAAAAATTCTTTTTAAAACATACACAAGAAAGTTCACATCTCAGCTCTGTTACCACAATCATGGACAAGCTACTTCTCTGGGCCTCAGGCCTCCAATCTATTAAAATGGAGCTGATAAAAATCTACCTCGGCGATTGGGGTATGCTGTCTGACACACAGAAGGAGCTCAATAAATGATAGCTATCATTATTGCCATGGAAAGTTGATGGTGAGGTACCTACCTCTCAGGATTCTTGATCTCTTCAGTGACATAGTTGAGGGTGTCCCAGCCCGAGTAGGAGAACAGAGCTGAGTACAGTCCCAGGGCAATGTCACCCACTGCAAATGAGGAGCCCTCAAAGGAATTCTCAAAGTGAGTTGAGGTTCCTGGATCCCAGAGAACATGGAAAGGCAGAAGGATTAGTGGCCTACCTCCCAACTTCAAGGGAATCCAGTAAAGGAGCAGAAGAATACAGCACTGAAGCAGGTAAGTGGCTTAGACCACCTTTGGCAGCAAGGGTACTGGTGAAGGACAGGGAACAGAAGAGAAATGCCTACAGCAATGGGCCAGAATGCAGGGTGCATCACAGGGATCTTGATGGGAAGGCCCGGGGTGGTCTTCTAGGAGCAGAGAGGCTGGAGAACAGGGTGAAGCGGTCCTGTCCTGCCCTGTAAGCTGCCGACTCCTGCCCCCTTTCTATCACCAGACAGAGCTGATACAGGGCAGAGGAAGGGCAGGACGCAGCAAGCCCAGGTCAGCAGAGTGGTTGTCGGGTAGGGGTTCATACCTGGAACCTGGAGATGAGTGGGTACAAGGAGCTCATTTCTGCCCTTGCCCACTCCCAAGGGGAGAATAATCATAACCACAGTCTTGGGCTCAACAATCTGCAAAAGCTGGCTTCCAGGGCATGACTGTCAGCTCTTTTGCCGAGATCAGCCTCCTCTGGGAGACAGCATGCATAGAAGTTAAAGGACAGGCTTTGGGGTCAGTCTGCCTGGGTACAAATTTCAGCTCCACTACTTACTAGCTAGGGACTTAAGCAAGATAATTCTGCAGCCTCAGTTTCCTCATCTATGAAATCGGAATAATAATAGTACCTACCAAATGAGATCGTGCACAAAAGGCACTTAGAGGAGTGTGGCTCATAGAAAATACTTAACAAGTATTAGTTGCTATTAATATTATGTCTTACCCTGGCCAAGTCTAACAATGCCTGCGATGATGATGGCGATCAGAGCCAATACTTTAGCATAGGTGAAAATATCTTGTACCAGGGTTCCCCACTTGACATAGGCACAGTTAATGAAGGTTAAGAGACCTGCAAGAAAAATAATACCGATTGGTGACTGACCCTACCATCCAGAGGGCCGTAGATTCCCAAGCAATTTTTCCAGTAGCAGTCACCAAAATAGACCCTTTGGCCAAAGACAGAAGTGTTTGGGCTCTGACCTGTTCTACAATGGAAACCTCTGCCCAGAATGTAGATGCCACCATCATTCAAAGGCACTTGCTGAGCAGCTGTGTACATAGCACCAAGCACAAACAGAAACACACACACGCCCTCAGCACTTAGACAGGAGACACAAAACAAAGTGACTGTGGACTTGCTTACATACAAAATGCTCACAGCAGGGGCAGGCAACCGGTATCCGTACAGGATTAATGATGTGTTCCGGCTGCTGGCTCTGAAAAGTCATGGTCTCTCCACCCCCTACCCACTGTGATGGGCTCCAGGGACCCAGCACTCTGACGCTGTGGTAACCTTGACGAGTCCTGTTGTGACTTATCCAATGTCTGGGCCAGCAGGTCAGGACGTGTGGCCAAGGATTAGGATAGGTGCCAGACTTCCTGCTACTGCCTGCCAGCTCAGCTGCTTGTTTTCGTGCTTGGAAAGATTCTTGGAGCCGAGGTTCCTATAAAATGGGGACAGGACGTTTTTCCCGACTACCCAACGCAAAAGTAAGAGCTGCAAACATTCCTCCAGTCCTTCTACCCCAGGGTGGAGGCCATTCCTTCACCTGGCCGAGCTACAGTAAAGGTCACAGATCGCCCTTAGGGCCAGGATTCTTAACCTAGGACTTCCACAATGCCTGAAATTCTTTGCAAAGTGTTATGTACATGTGTCCAAAGTATATTCATTTTTGTAAGAAAAACCTCCATAACTTTCATCAGAATCTCAGAGAAAGCCATCACCCCCAAAAAAGTTACAATCAGCTACTTCAGAAGAAGAAATTCAAGAAGGGAAGCCCACACATGCTGTGAGGTTGACCAACAGCCCCAGGATGTGGTGGGGAAGAAAGTCAAAAGAAACAATTCTGAAACTCAGCAGAATGTTCCTCAATCCCCCAGCAACCTCTTAAACAGGCAGGGAGGCACCCACCCCACACCTTCCCCACTGCGGCAGTGAATCACTTCACTGCTCTCTCCTTCCCAGCTCAGCAACTGGAGGGCTCCAGAGGCAAGGTCAGAGTCAGCCTGCCTGACCAGGGCAGAGTGAGGCCCAGTGCTGGGCTTGCCTGCTTCAGGCCACCAGCACAGTCAGGAAGTACTCCCTGTCTACTCAGAACGGCTGTCCCATCTTCTGTCTCTCTCTCCCCCTCACTTAAGCCTCTCCTAGTCTACTTGCTGCCCAAGTTCTTTTCTGTTCTTTCAGAAACAGGGCATTCCTGTCCCATACAAACATTTGCCTTTCTGCCTAACACACAAGACAATAAACACGAACCTTACTACAGGGCTGGGCAAAAATGCACCCTAACTCCAGGCCTGCCCAGTGCTAAGTTAATCATTAAAGACACAAGTGGGCAGTCTCCACAAGCATCCCACAAAATGGCCAAAGTGCTTGTATCTCGCCCTCCACAATCTTTCAGATGTGTTGATGCCCTTCAGCCAGTCACCCAGCCTTGTCTCCCCACTGGCCTTCTGCCTCCAGCCACTCAGCAGCCCTCAGGCCACTTCCCTTCCACCTCTACCCTCGAGCCTGCTGCTGGCTTACAAATGTAACACAAGCTGCCTTCGCAACTAGAAACACCAGGGACTCCTAATGCTGCCATATTCACAAGGGAATGGGACCCCTAATTAAAATTCATGGTTAGCCCTCAGGGCAACCACGGGTCACAACACCAAACTGGGGTGGGCTCAAGGGACTGCTTGTGGTTTATTGTCAGGCTGCAGCGTGTGCCACAAGGTTCTGTTCTCAGCTCTGTCCAGGGATGTGGGCGGGGAAAAGCCAACTCATCATGCTTTACAACAACAAATTCTGAAATGAAAATACATGGATTATTTACATTTTAATCCCTACTGCTTCTCTACTCTCATGTCTACCCATTTGTATCCCTCCTTTTGCCCACCAGTATTTCCCCTCCCCCACTGACCCACCATCTTGCCCTGGTCTGCTCTCTTTGTTGAGCACAGAGGGTTCTGTTTGAAAGAAGAAGGGAATCCTATGAAAATAAACCAGGGCCCAGAGGAACTGCCTGAAGAGAGCTGGCCCTCACCTTCCCCAGAGCCCAGCTTTCTCCAGGGCCTCTTGGCCGTGGGAGCAGGAAATGGGTATGGCAGGCAGCAGTGCTGACTGGGCTCTTTGTCCCCATGCCCAGCGGATACAGCTGACCGGAGGCCCCAGAGCCCAGCCAAGTGCACTGTTCTTGAAGTGCAGCCCAACCTCCTGCTTCAGAGGCAGGGACAGGAGGGGTTTATGGGGGTAGAATGATATGGAGGCAACTGCAAGTTACCCTCAAGGACAGAGATGCCCCACCCTCCTATGTCTAGGTGCAATTCAATCCCCACCTAACACTGGGCCAAGTCCACAGGAAGATGGCCTGAAGTCACCTTGGACCCTTGACTCAGGTGCAACTCCATTCCTGCTTTGACCCCTGCTTTGGAGGAAGGAGAAGCTGTGAACAAGTCACTCCTATAATCATCTAAAGAGACGCCCCTGAATGGATCATCAAACCCAGCCTATATGGGCTCCCCTGGAGCAGGAGGCTAGTTCTAGCTCTAAGGCCCAGCGTCAGCTGTAGCACCAAAAGCCAGAAGAGCATCACCTAGGTTGATTCAGAACAGAACAAAGCTTGCAGCCCACTCAGGATCAGACGCCCAGATTTAGTTCAGATGCTCAAACTAAACAGTCCCTGAAAAAGAATGGTAAACCTACAATTCTCCCAGCACCATTAGTTTTAAATACATAAAATGTAACACACAAAACTTAGGCCACTATTTAATCCATTTTCTGCTTCAAATTCCCAGAGAGTGTAACACCTCGATACTTTATTAGACAACTCATTCCATTTTTAAAGAGATCAATAGGGGCCGGCCCAGTGGCACAGCAATTAAGTGCACACATTCTGCTTCAGCGGCCCGGGGTTCACTGGTTCAGATCCTGGGTGCGGACATGGCACCACTTGGCATGCCATGCTGTGGTAGGCGTCCCACATATAAAGTAGGGAAAGATGGGCACAGATGTTAGCTCGGGGCCAGTATTCCTCAGCGAAAAGAGGATTGGCTGCAGTCAGCTCAGGGCTAATCTTCCTCAAAAAATAAAAAATAAAGAGATCAATAGCTCTTCCTTCCACTAAGCCAACAGCTTCTTCCTTGCAACTTTTACCCAGTAGTCCTAGACCTCTCCTCTGGAGCCACCCAGAATCCAGCTCAACCCTCTTCCACATAATGACCCTTCTTCTCATTAAGGATTAACATCCTTTCCCTCTTTCAGGCTAAAAACCTGAAAGTTTCTTCAACCTCTTGTGTGATAAATGTGCCTTCCAGACCACACTCACTATCCCAGTTCTCTCCTCTGCACTTACTTCACTCTGTCAGTGTCCCACTGGAAACGTGACACCCACACAGAAAACTCCAGACATTGTTGCAGACTACAGAGTCTCAGTTTTAATTCATTGTCAACTACAACTCCTTTCTTTCCCAACCTCAACTGACCAGCTTTTCCCTCTAGCCCTTTTTGGGCCCATAAAAGTGATTTTTTTTAAATCCCAAATATGGGACTTTACATTTATTCCTAGTAACCTTCCTCTGTGAATTTTTAAGCATCATTCCCACCTACTAGAAATGGACTTTTCCCCTTAATTTTATCAGTTAGTTCAAATGCCTTCAATTTTGTGGAATCTGCAAATTTGATTAGCATATGTCCTCAGTTTTCACTGAAGTCACTGATAAAAGCGTTGACTAGCATAGGCAGAACCCTGTAGTCTACCACGATAGACCTTCCTCTATGCCTAATTATTCCACAACATCAACGAAGAATCCATCAAACTATTCTTTTATCTAGTCCACCTTTTTCCACCTTGTCAACAAGAAGGTCATGAGAGCTTGCCAAGAACCTCTCTGAAAGCTGTATACACATACCTCTGCTCTAGCAATCTAATGATGCCATCAAATGCTTCAAATAAAATTAGTAAATATACTGGAATGTCCATAGCTATACCACTGTCATAGTCAAAAATTGGAAACAACCCAAATGCCAGTCAATAGTGGAGTGGCTAAACAAATACCATGGAATACTAAACAGCAGTAAGAATGGACCATCTACCACTACAGATAAAAAGATGGATGGACTTCATAAACATACTAAGTGAAAAAGCCAGACACAAAAGAGTACATACCCTTTAATATCCATTTACATAAAAATAGGCAAAACTAATGTATGCTTCTAGAAGTCAGAACAGTGATTTCCCTTCATGTGAGTGTGGGGGGCAAGAGGGAGTGACTGAGAGAAACCAGGGGGCTGGTTTCTTGATGTGAATGCTGTTTACACATATGTGTTCAGTTTGTGAAAATTGATCAAGCTATACACTGACATGTGCACTGTTGCTTTTGTACATTACACTTGAATAAAAAATTAAAATTTGAGGCGGACCTGGTGGCATAGTGGTTAAGTTCACATGCTCCACTTCAGTGGCCTGGGGTTTACAGGTTCTGATCCTGGGCGCCAACCTATACACCATTCGTCAAGCCACACTGTGGCGGCATCCCACACAGAAGAACTAGAAGGACTTACAACTAGGATATACAACTATGACCTGGAGCTTCAGGGAGAAAAAAAAGGGGGAAATTGGCAACAGATGTTGCACCCTTTCTAGGTTAGCAATCCTTTTGCCAGGCAAAGTTAGAAGAAAAATGGGACTGTGGCCTCCTCCTTTCTCTCCACCATCTATCATCACAGAACTAACTGCCCTCAGAGCATCCAGCCCTGTCCTCGCTGTTCTTGCTCTGAACATTCCTCTCAGAGCTTCCTGTCCTCAGTCGCTTCTTCAGGTCTGTGTTTCTGCCGGGCGTGAACCTTCAGGACACTCCCCTCACAGTTCT